ATATATATATATATTTAATTCAGGCAATATTTAAACTTTTAGTCACAATGTAATGAAAATTTGTAATTATTTAAATAAATGTTTTTCTCAATTCTTTCGTTTTTTAATTACTTTTTTCCTGTATAATTTTCTCGTCATTATACTACAATGAAACAAAAAACCAGCAGTTTGCATACTGCAACGCCAAAAGAGCATCAAAAATTAACTCTGTACTAAATTGGTATTTTGGTACAACAGACTAGACAAAATATATCATTAGACAGTTTGTAACGCCTCTTATACACGGACTAAATTTTAAATACGTCTACACATAAAAACATTGCCGGCAAGTCTGATGGTCGGCTACCGATCGGTAAAACAACGCCGGTGTGTAAGAGGCGTAACAAATTCAAATCTTAAATTTTGTCTAATATGTGTATATCAATCTAAAAAAAGTCTCCTAAATTATAGAGAGCTCAGTGAGTCGCAAAGTACAGTTGTTTAAAAATCTTATATGCGCAGAAACATAATTCCGGCCGTCACCTAAATTATTCTAGGTCCTAAAAATATTACATCCATTATTCACACTCTATCTCGAGCTCTCGTAGTGTAAACAAGCCTTTGATCCGATTACAAATATCATAATAAAATGCTCTATTCTTTATTATCTTAATTTAAGCAATAAATATATATAACGAACGTTCGCCAGTTAAGTTTATTGATGCCCGAGCGGCCGAGCGCCTTAGTTCATTTCCGGTTGTAATGAGGCACGTGGTCTTATTCTGAGTCCATGTTTTCACAACGTGCTTATTAGAAGAATTATGTGGATACGACAAGCATTTCGCGGCTCATGAGATTTCGAACTACTTTAATATCCGTTCAACTTATTAAAATATTTGAGGTTTACTTTTATAAAAGAATCAGTCAAATCAGTTCTACTCTAGCTATAAACAGCCTATGGGACATATTTTCCATGAAACAATGTTATTCGGATGAATAATGTAATTTTTCGACAATTTTTATATAAAATTAAATTTTTTAGAAAAGCTCTAATATTTACAATGGTACTAAGACAAAAACTATGTATCCCTTGGGGTGCAAACTCCCCCCCAAATACCTAAAATATTTGATGAACACTTTAATTTTTTGATAACTTTTATGAAGAGAATCGTGGGTTTTGCCAGTACCGTCATAGTCTGAAGGAATTTTTTCCGATTTTTCCGAGCCCCCGTCGATTTTCTCAAAAATTTAAAAATTCTGAAAAAATTCAGGTGGACAATAACGGCCCTGACTAATCCAAAACTGCCGTCAGTTCCTCTCTAGCTCCGCCAGTTTTCGAGATTTTTTATAATTTTCCATCCGGTTCTAAAACTTATGGTAGGTAGGCAACATACAATACATACCTGTATACTTGGCTGCATAATAATTACTAAAACCGCCTTTTGCCACGCATTATAATTTTTTGACGATAATTTTCATGAAAATTCTCAAAAAATTAGAATGCCGTCTAAGGCCGCAGAATACGCCGCTGTAGTCCGCTATTTTTGTAAGTTGCTCTCCTAAGGGAAAAAAAAGATTATCTCGAAAATTACGCGAGCTGGAGAGAAATTCGTTTTAGTTTTGGATTTGCCAGTACAGTTATAGTCTGGAGGAATTTTTTCATATTTTTCCGGGCTCCCAAAATTTTTTGGCCGAATAAATCGATGGACTCGATTTTCTAAAAAATTTTTAGGTCTCTGAAAATTCTGAAATAAATCAGGTAGACAATGACGACCTTGACTAATCCAAAACTGCCGTCAGTTTTTCTCTAGGTCCGCCAGTTTTCGAAATTTTTAATATTTTTCCTTCCGGTTCCGAGGCATTTGTTAGGTAGGCAACATACAATACATTCGTGTGTATACTTGGCTGCATAAACCTCCTTTAGAAACGCATTTTTTTTGACGATAATTTTCATGAATATTATCAAAAATTTAGAATGTCGTCTGAATACGGCACCCCGTTTGTAGTTTCTAGTTTGCGCCGCAGGAAACGCCGATGTAGTTCGCAATTTTTGTAAGTTGCTCTCCTAAGGGAAAAAAAAGATTATCTCGAATATTACGCGAGCTGGAGAGAAATTCGTTTTAGTTTTGGATTTGCCAGTACAGTTATAGTCTGGAGGAATTTTTTCAAATTTTTCCGGGCCCCTAAAATTTTTTGGCCGAAAAAAACGATGGACTGATCGATTTTCTCAAAAAATTTTAGGCCTCTGAAAATTCTGAAAAAATTCAGGTGGACAGTAACGGCCCTGACTAATCCAAAACTGCCGTCAGTTCCCCTCTAGCTTCGCCAGTTTTCGAGATTTTTTATATTTTTCAGTCCAGTTCTACAACTTTTATTAGGTAGGCAACTTAAAATACATGCGTTTGTATACATGGCTACATAAACCTCGTTTAGAAACGCATTTTTTTTTGTCGATAATTTTCAAGAATATTCTCAAAACTTTAGAATGTCGTCTAAATACGGCACCCCGTATGTAGTTTGTAGTTTGCTCCGCAGAAAACGCCGATGTAGTTCGCTATTTCTGTAAGTTGCTTTCCTGATGAAAAATATTGAATATCTCGAAAATTACGAGAGCTAGAGAGAAATTCGTCTTAGTTTTGGATTTGCCAGTCCCGTTATAGTCTGGAGGAATTTTTTCAGATTTTTCCGGACCCCTAAAATTTTTTGCCCGAAAAAATCCATGGACGTCAATTTTCTCAAAAATTTTTAGGACTGAAAATTCTGAAAAAAATCAGGTGGACAATGACGACGCTGACTAATCCAAAACTGCCGTCAGTTCCTCTAGCTCCGCCAGTTTTCTAGATTTTTTATATTTTTCCTTCAGGTTCCAAAGCTTTTGTTAGGTAGGCAACATACAATACATACGTGTGTATACTTGGCTGCATAAACCGCCTTTAGATACGCAATTTTTTTTTGACGATAATATTCATGAATATTCTTAAAAATTTAGAATGTCGTCTAAATACGGCACCCCGGATGTAGTTTGTTGTATGCGCCGCAGAAAACGTCGATGTAGTTCGCTATTTTTGTAAGTTGCTTTCCCGATGAAGAAAATTGAATATCTCGAAAATTACGCGAGCTAGAGAGAAATTCGTTTTAGTTTTGGATTTGTTAGTACCGTTATAGGCTGGAGGATTTTTTTCATAATTTTCCGGGCACCTAAAATTTTTTGGCCAAAAAAATCGGTGGACTTGTCCGTCGATTTTCTCAAAAATTTTTAGGCCTCAGAAAATTCTGAAAAAATTCAGGTGGACGATAAGGGCCATGACTAATCCAAAACTGCCGTCAGTTCCTCTCTAGCTCCGCCAGTTTTCGAGATTTTTTATAATTTTCCATCCAGTTCTAAAACTTATGGTAGGTAGGCAACATACAATACATAGCTGTATACTTGGCTGCATAATAATTACTAAAACCGCCTTTTGCCACGCATTATAATATTTTGACGATAATTTTCGTGAATATTCTCAAAAAATTAGAATGCCGTCTAAGGCCGCAGAATACGCCGCTGTAGTCCACTATTTTTGTAAGATGCTCTCCTAAGGGAAAAAAAAGATTATCTCGAAAATTACGCCCTGACTTAACGGCCCTGACGGAATAACGGCCCTGACTTATCCAAAACTGCCGTCAGTTCCTCTCTAGCCCCGCCAGTTTTCGAGATTTTTTATATTTTTCAGTCCGGTTCTACAACATTTGTTAGGTAGGCAACTTACAATACATGCGCTTGTGTGCATGGCTGCATAAACCTCGTTTAAAAATGCATTTTTTTTTTCGATAATTTTCAAGAATATTCTCAAAACTTTAGAATGTCGTCTAAATACGGCACCCCGTATGTGGTTTGTAGTTTGCTCCGCAGAAAACGCCGATGTAGTTCGCTATTTTTGTAAGTTGCTTTCCCGATGAAAAAAATTGAATATCTCGAAAATTACGCGGGCTAGAGAGAAATTCGTTTTAGTTTTGGATTTGTCAGTACCGTTATAGTCTGGAGGAATTTTTTCAGAATTTTCCGGGCCCCTAAAATTTTTTGGCCGAAAAAATCGATGGACGTCGATTTTCTCAAAAATTTTTAGGCCTCTGAAAATTCTGAAAAAAATCAGGTGGACAATGACGACCCTGACTAATCCAAAACTGCTGTCAGTTCCTCTCTAGCTCCGCCAGTTTTCGAGATTCTTTATATTTTTCCTTCCGGTTCCAAAGCTTTTGTTAGGTAGGCAACATACAATACATACGTGTGTATACTTGGCTGCATAAACCTCCTTTAGATTCGCAATTTTTTTTTGACGATAATATTCATGAATATTCTTCAAAATTTAGAATGTCGTCTAAATACGGCACCCCGGATGTAGTGTGTTGTGTGCGCCGCAGAAAACGTCGATGTAGTTCGCTATTTTTGTAAGTTGCTTTCCTGATGAAAAAAATTGAATATCTCCAAAATTACGCGAGCTAGAGAGAAATTCGTTTTAGTTTTGGATTTGTCAGTACCGTTATAGTCAGGAGGAATTTTTTCATATTTTTCCGGGCCCCTAAAATTTTTTGGCCGAAAAAATCCATGGACTAGTCCGTCGATTTTCTCAAAAATTTTTAGGCCTCTGAAAATTCTGAAAAAATTCAGGTGGACAATAACGGTCCTGACTAATCCAAAACTGCCGTCAGTTCCTCTCTAGCTCCTCCAGTTTTCGAGATTTTTTATATTTTTCCTTCCGGTTCTAAAACTTATGGTAGGTAGGCAACATACAATACAAACCTGTATAATTGGCTGCATAATAATTCCTGAAACTGCCTTTAGCTACGCATTTTAATTTTTTGACGATAATTTTCGAGAAAATTCTCAAAAAATTAGAATGCCGTCTAAAGACGGCACCCCGCATGTAATTAAGGCCGCAGAATACGCCGCTGTGGTCCGCTATTTTTGTAAGTTGCTCTCCTAAGGGAAAAAAAACATTATCTCGAAAATTACGCGAGCTAGAGAGAAATTCGTTTTAGTTTTCGATTTGTCAGTACCATTATAGTCTGGAGGAATTTTTTCATATTTTTCCGGGCCCCTAAAATTTTTTGGCCGAAAAAATCTATGTACCATAAGTCCGTCGATTTTCTCAAAAATTTTTATGCCTCTGAAAATTCTGAAAAAATTCAGGTGGACAATAACGGTCCTGACAAATCCAAAACTGCCGTCAGTTCCTCTCTAGCTCCGCCAGTTTTCGAGATTTTTTATAATTTTCCTTCCAGTTCCAAAGCTTTTGTTTGGTAGGCAACATACAATACATTCGTGTGTATACTTGGCTGCATAAACCTCCTTTAGAAACGCATTTTTTTTTACGATAATTTTCATGAATATTCTCAAAAATTTAGAATGTCGTCTAAATACGGTACCCCGGATGTAGTTTGTTGTATGGGCCGTAGAAAACGTCGATGTAGTTCGCTATTTTTTTAAAGTTGCTTTCCCGATGAAGAAAATTGAATATCTCGAAAATTACGCGAGCTAGAGAGAAATTCGTTTTAATTTTGGATTTGTCAGTACCGTTATAGTCTGGAGGAATTTTTTCATATTTTTCCGGGCCCCTAAAATTTTTTGGTCGAAAAAATTGATGGACATATAGTCCAAATTAAATTAATTAAATGGGAGGTTAATTTCACACTCATTAAATAAAATATGAAATTTTATATTTGTATTTTAATAATATTAGAAGGAAAAGACAATTTCTATCGATAAAATGTTTTATTATAAATTATTAGCTAGGAAAAACCAACTTTTGAAATGCCTAATAGAAACAATAATAAATATACAAGTACATAGTTTTAAAGGCGTACATAATATTATTACAATTAATAATACAAATGTTCACAGCATTTGATTCCATGATTCTAAAAACTGTCCTAACGCTTATCCATCTCTATAGAAAATGTAATTTATGAAAGAAAACATCTTATTTGCCTGGGGGCTGAATTTCCATTGTTTTACACACCCACCCTGCAATATCAACATCCTCAGATTCAGCTTTTTTAATCCATGTGTGATTCTAAAATGATTATATCATTAATTTTATTTAATTAACTATCACTGTTTTAATCTCAAACTTACCATTAATGTTTTCAAGTCAGCACGATCGTCAGAATTTTTTTTTAAACATCTGTCAACAAAATCCTTGAATTCATCTGTAAATATTCCTGACGGAAGCTTTGGTGGAGGTTCATTTACAATATAATCAAGAAGTTCAAATATTGCCATAGGACGAGGACCTTTTGTGTGATCTGGAGAATCTGTGTCACTTCTTGGACCAAATATTGCAGCTAATGTTTTTGCATCTGGTGGGGGTATGGGGTACATTCCGATAGCCATTTCTACTAACGATAAACCTAATGACCAAATATCGCTTTGTACTGAATAGTGTGTGCCCTGAAGCCTTTCTGGCTAAAAAAAATCCGATTATATAATTTTCCGATGCCATAATTTAAAAAATTACAGACTACATCCATGACCAATAAGATTTTATATATTTGTTATATTTTCATTGCTTACAACATGACAAATCTTGCCACATACCTACCAACCTAATAACTATGGTGGGGTAGTCGAATTTCTATGTTTCTAACAATAAACTCTACTAAGCATAATTGTATGAGAGGATATAATGCAAAAAACTTACCGACATGTAACTTCTGGTTCCCACAAAGGAGTTAGCCATTGAGTCTATGAGTTGTCCCGACACTCCAAAATCACATATTTTAATTTCTCCACTGCTATTTACTAAAATGTTACTAGGCTTAACGTCTCTATGCATTATAGCATGTTTGTCCCTTAAGTAGCTTAAACCTTTTAAAACTGCCGAAGTTATTTTTCCAAGTATATTCTCAGGTATACGGCCTGCTTTTTTTAGTATCAAATCAAGTGAACCAGCATCCATATACTCCATACAAATACTTATTTCTCCATCACTATAAAATGCACCATAGAAGCCAACTATGTGAGCAAAATTACATTCATGTAATACTTTAAGCTCTCGAATAATCTGCTTTTTAATTGCAGGTTTTACTTCTAGATGGATTAGCTTCCTAGCCATTATTAAACCACTACATTTGTGTCGAACTTTAGTTACAACTCCGCCATTTCCAGAACCAAGTTCACCAAGCTTTTCAAAATCATCATCTGACAAATCACCTCCAATTTTCTCCTTTTGGCACAGGAACACCTCGATTCTTTTACGCTGTGTATCATCCATGTCTAATTCTTCCAAACGTGCAGTTAAATGATCTATACTGTTACCTCGTACTAAATTATTAGGTCTGGAAATTAAATTTATTAAATATGACAGAGAAGTTAGATAGATACTTACACAGCAGGTTTATCGTGAAACGAAGAAGTTGGTGTTATGGTAGGTGTTTGGTCTATCGAACCAGGGGGGAGAGTTAAGTTTAATTTATTCTTTGACATTGTAAATATTTTCTCATACAAATATTACATTCCTACAAAGAAGAATTATTGACTTTGTTGTGTGATATATTTATGCGAAACAAAGAGAAAACTGAAGTGAATAAAATTATTGCTAATAACGTCAAATACAAAAAATATAAATAATTAATACAAAAATAGCAACCGGTGGTTGTTGCTAATATATAGAACTCAACAAAATTTTTACTTTTGACACTTTTGACACTGGACAGTCGCTCCCACTTTCTGCACAAGTTCTGTCACAAAATATATAATAGAGTTCTGTAACAGAAAATGCAAATGCTCGATCACATCTATCTCTTCTTATTCTTCTTCTTTAGATAATGGTTTCCACATTTGCGTACTTGGCCAGCACTCCAACAGCAAAGGTTTTGTTTTCAACAATAAAGGAGGGAATGCCTCCTTTCAGCGTCTGGATTTTTCCATCTTCCCTTCCTTCACGATTCACATTTTCATTTCCATTCTTAAAAGCTACGAGTTGTTAGTAGGGGGACAACACAACAAAGGTTACACTTTTCTCTCAGGGGCAACGGCCGAGCATTTCACACACCCAGAAATGTTGCCTCGGACAGATAGTCACACGATATATCCATTTATAATCAAAGCACCCAGGTTAAGATAGAGGGGATTTTTTTTTAAATATAAATATTTATTTTTTTTTTCGACCATCTATGTTTTTCTTAGGAAATCGTTGAACTGTGCTACAATTTTATTTTGAAAATCGGCAAGAATTGACTATATACATAGATATACTTTCACATATATCTCTTTGTCGTTTGATCTGTTGCAATTAGAAAAGAACAAAATACAGCTGGAGCATCTCCTTCTATATGTTTTTCTTCTGTTCGTTTAATAAATCTGTTGCGATTTTTCATTTCATTTTCCTTTTACAGCAAATTTTATCAAATCTAACATAGTCGTACTTTATACACTGTTCCTTTTATTTTCTTATTTTAAGATTAATTATTTATCTCCACCCTAACCTACGCTAAGTCTACAGAATTTCTGACTTAAATTAAGAATTTTGGGTGCGTTTTTTAAAAATACAAGGTTATGTAAATATAGACGTTAAGTTTATAGTTTGGTGTTTGGTTTACTTCTTGTTTTTAGACAGAATAGAACAATTATGTGAATTTATATACACAATTATCGAATTAATAAATCTTAATTTAGCGTTACAAAAGTATTTGTAAAACTGTCTTTATCAACCAGTGCAGAAACCATCATTTATGTAGCATATTTTATTCACAAGTTTATGATTTATTATTATTATTATTATTATTATTATTATTATTATTATTATTATTATTATTATTATTATTATTATTATTATTATTATTATTATTATTATTATTATTATTATTATTATTATTATTATTATTATTATTATTATTATTATTATTATTATTATTATTATTATTATTATTATTATTATTATTATTATTATTATTATTATTATTATTATTATTATTATTATTATTATTATTATTATTATTATTATTATTATTATTATTATTATTATTATTATTATTATTATTATTATTATTATTATTATTATTATTATTATTATTATTATTATTATTATTATTATTATTATTATTATTATTATTATTATTATTATTATTATTATTATTATTATTATTATTATTATTATTATTATTATTATTATTATTATTATTATTATTATTATTATTATTATTATTATTATTATTATTATTATTATTATTATTATTATTATTATTATTATTATTATTATTATTATTATTATTATTATTATTATTATTATTATTATTATTATTATTATTATTATTATTATTATTATTATTATTATTATTATTATTATTATTATTATTATTATTATTATTATTATTATTATTATTATTATTATTATTATTATTATTATTATTATTATTATTATTATTATTATTATTATTATTATTATTATTATTATTATTATTATTATTATTATTATTATTATTATTATTATTATTATTATTATTATTATTATTATTATTATTATTATTATTATTATTATTATTATTATTATTATTATTATTATTATTATTATTATTATTATTATTATTATTATTATTATTATTATTATTATTATTATTATTATTATTATTATTATTATTATTATTATTATTATTATTATTATTATTATTAT